ACTAAGCGGCGTGAGAGTGGTGCGGTCCCGAAAGAAGGAGCGAGACGCCCCAGAGTCAAGGGTGAAGGTGTGAGAGGCCGAAGCCGACACATTACCTGAGAGTGCAGACTCACTAGTACCTGGGAGCACAGACGCACTGGCACCTAGAGCAGCAGCCTCACTGGCACCTGACGCAGGAGTACCAATGCCCGGGTCGGGCGGGAAACACCGGTAACAGTCACCCTCATCACTAACAGTCACAGCATACATGGCAGCAAGGATAGCATCAAAGTCAAGATCAAAGATGGCTACACCAGCCCTAGACAGCTCTCCCCAGCGGGGGATCTCAGAGGCCTCCGGAAACTGCTGGCGCCAAGCGTCGGTCAAGCGGGCAAAGCAGCGGCGGGCGGTGTGGGTGCCCCCACACTGCTCACCCGCGCGGTCGCCGGTGCGAAGGACGTAGGTGCAGGGACCGAACGCCCCACCGCGCTGGCGCTGCGAGTACCACTCACGGAGCTGCTGAGGGGCGGGGACGTCGCGAGAGCGCTGCTGCTGCTGCTGCTGCTGCTGCTGGCGCTGACCACCCCCAGTGCTGCTCCGCTGGGACGAGCCACTCCGACCACCTCCACCACCGCCACCCCCGCCTCCGCCGCCACCGCCGCCACCGCCACCCTCGCCCCCGCCGCTCCCACCGCCACCTGCACCGCCACCTCCGCCGCCACCTCCGCCTCCACTGCCGCCACTAGTACCTCCACCCCCGCCACCACCTCCACCGCCACCCCCACTCCCCCCGCCGCCCCCACCTCCTCCGCTACCGCCCCCGCTAGCTCCACCCGCTCCCTTGCCCCCCTTGCCCTTGCCAGAGCGGCGTCTACCACTGGGGGCAGACGCCGCACCGACCGACTCTAGACCAACGAGGTCGGCCGCAGCAGCAGAGGCGACAGAGGGTAACAGGGGGGAAGGAGAACACCCCTCAAAAATGGGGGTGCGGGGGTCACCACGAGAGACCCCTACAGCGACGATGCTCTTCTCGGCCGCTAGCAGGGACTTCTCGAGGAGGTCGACAGTGAGGGTGGTGGGACAGACAGAGAGAAACTGGTCCCTAACAGCACGAAGGGACTCAGGGAGACGGGTGACTAGAAAGTAGAGGGTGATGTACATGGGAGGGGGGTTTTCGGCGCAGAAGGCAGCAGGAAGCGCAGCTCGGTAGCGAGTGTCACTAGCGCGAAGGTGGGTAAAGAGGTCAGCGACTGTAGGAAAGGCAGCAAGGTCAGGGAAGAGGTACGGTAGCATGAGGCGGCTCAGTGTAGCAGAGGAAGGGGAGGAGTAGCGCGCAACTACAGCGTCGTACAAGGCCTGAGCGGTCTTGCACTGACTAAAGTGGGCGCGCTCGGAGGAAGGGAGGTGGCGACGCACAGCAAGACGTGCAGCAGCATCGCGTGAGGCCCACTTGGAGCGCACAGTGGGGTCAGCATCAGCAGGAGGGGCAGGTACAGCGCTAGAGACAAAGTCAAAGAGAGAAACTTCATCTACTGTATCGCAGAGCAAGTACAGCTGCAGGTCGTCGACCCAGACCGCAAAGTCAATAGCGCGACCCTCAGCGTCAAAAGCCAGGACACTGGGGGTGGCCATGATAGCAGCTGACAGTCTCACCGGACAGGAAGGGTCGGGTCGCTAAGCAGCACAGCAACACAGCAGCACACCAACGCCGAGTGGCCTAGGATCAGTAGCAGCTCCACAGGAGCAGGAGCTCGGCACCTGAGACGGCTCGGGCGGCTCGGGCGGCTTGGGCGGCTCGGGCGGCTCGGGCGGCTAGGGCGGCTCGGGCACGCAGCAGCATGGGCGGCGCGGGCGGCTCTGCTGCTCGGGCGGCTCGTGCGGCTCGGGTGACGCTGGGGCTCACGGGCGACGTGGCGGGCGGCTCACTGGCAGCTCGCGGGCGGCTCACGGGCGGCTGCACGGGCGGCTGGGGCGGCGCACGGGCGGCTCGTGGAGTTGCTGCACGGACGGCTGCACGGGCGGCTGCACGGGCGGTTGCACGGGCGGCGCACGGACGGCTCACGGGCGGCTGCACGGGTGGCGCGTCGGGCGGCAGCACGGGCGGTTGCACGGGCGGCTGCACGGGCGGTTCACGGGCGGCTGCACGGACGGCTGTACGGGCGGCTGCACGGGCGGCGCGTCGGGCTGCTGAGGGCGACGCGCGGGCAGCCCACGGGCGGCTAGCGGGCGTCGGGCGGCGCGCAGGCGACGGGCGGCTAGTGGGCGCCGGGCGGCTAGCGGGCGTCGGGCGGCTAGCGGGCGTCGGGCGGCTAGCGGGCGTCGGGCGGCTGGCGCGTCGGGTGGCTAGCTCACGGGCGGCCTTGGGTGGCGCACGGGCGGCTCTGGGCATCGTGCGGGCGCTAGGGCGCGAAGGCGCTAGGGCGGGCAGCGGGTCGGGAGAGCGCTAGGGCGCAAGGGCGGGCAGCGCGTGGGCGCTAGGGCGCGAGGGCGGGCAGCGGGGCGCGGGCGCTAAGGCGGCGCTCGGGCTGCTAGGGCGGGCGGCGCGCTAAGGCGGCGCTCGGGCCGTAGGGCAGATCGAAAAAAAAAGGAGAGCAAGGGCTCGGAGCGCGCTCCGGGCAGAAAAAAAATTCGATGTGGTGGGCCCTAAGCACAGTTCCCACGGGGGAACCTGCTCGATACCATGAGAAAGTTAGAACGAGAAAAATGAAATGACTATGAACGAAGTGAGTACAAATAGGAAACCCTAGTTGGATTGTACCCCCTATGGGATACCCCACTATAGCCTACACACATAAGTAAGCTATAATGTTCTGACAGGGCGTTGTGGCTTGAGCGGCATTGGTGCCATAATGGCCTGTTCGCCACTTGTCGCCGCGAACTCCACGTGCCGACGGGCTTCACGGGGCTCCCGCGGGCTTGGTACGACCCCGCTTCCTCCCATGCCAGGCATCGGCTGGGCGATGCCATCACTGGCTGCGCCTGAGCGTTGTCCCATGCTCTCGTGTTGCGTTGGTGTGCCGGACGAAATGATGATCGGCTCGTCCGATTGTGCAGATGCATTTGGCAGTGCGTGTGATGTCGCTGGAATGTTCACCGTGGATTGTTGACGGGGGGAGTCACGTTCCGCCGTGAGCGTCGCGATTTCGAGCGCCGAGTCTTCAAGTTGGCGCACGAGACGATCAAGCTGCTCCTGCGTCAATGTGGCGAGCGTGAAATCGGCCATGGTGGGGGTGTCGGGCGAGCTCAGCGAGAGCCTCGGTCGTGGCCGTGCGTGCTTACGAGAGAGCACTACGAGCGGTGGTGCTATATCGCTGAGAGACGTCTACCCCCCCCCCCCCCAAAAATGAGATAGTGGGGAAGCGAAAATGTGGGTGCGGTCCGAGAGGAGATCGTAGGCTCTGAATACCAAGTGTTACGAGTGCAATTGAGTAAGTGAACGAGAATTGCACTACCGAAGCAAAAATACAATGAGTGAAGGCATGAGCGAAGAATATATAGCGAAACTACAGTGGTAACGGTAATGGACTGTGGTTGTCGCGTGACGGGCCTGGGACTGAGGTTTGGGAAAGTGTCGAAGCGGAGGCCCGGAGCGCGGGTTACCAGCCGAGCCGTGAGGTTGGGGTGCGATGTGCGAAAATGGCGGGCTGATTGTCGATGCGAGGGTCGCGAGTGGTAACGGTGCTGACTGTGGTGCTATAGTGATGTACGCGTTGAGCAGGGATGCGAAGTAAGGAAAAATGGTTTTCCTTACATTATGGGACTTCTTATTTGTAGTTTCAATAGATGTCTTTGTATTCTTGATTCCGTTTCCAAGTATACAATACGAGTTGGAACTCTAGGGTGTTTTAGCGCGTCACACGATCAGAGCCTTCCAACCTTAGGGCGCGTGACTTTTTCTGTCCGGACCGTGTGCGAAAAGGGTATCCCGCTCACGGTCCAGACCGTTCAAGCTCGTTATGGAATTACAGATCATGCGGGTTTTGACGAAATTTTGGTATCTTTTTCGCATACGGCTCGGAAGGTCAGAAAGATAATACGTTACGCGCCCTAAGTGATTGCTTCGCAAACCCCCCATTCCTGTGCTCGTCGATCATGGTGCACACTTGTGTGCGCAAGCGAGATCCGTGGTGCTGGGAGTGTGTCTTTGTTGGGGAGAAGTTTGTGGTTCCCCGATTCCAGCCAATCACATCATGTCAAAGCACATATCCACTCTCCCCTTCCCATGTTCTGGCACTAGGTGACCTTACCTACGTGGCAAAACTCCCAAGGGAAAGGATTTGGGCACGTGCGGTAAGGCATCACTATTGCGCCATGTCATACTCCCTTCTACCATGGTTGACCAGTGCCGGATGATTTACCAGGGGGTGTTTAGAATCGGCGTTTCCAGCCTTCGTCTGGCACTGTAGTGTTTTGAATCGTCTGAAGAAGCTCTTAGATCACTAGAATGCATCAGGAACTAAGCGAAGGCGCTGAACTCTATCAATCAAAGCACGCCTTGAAATAACTCTACTCCCTGATCCAAGGTCCACCACAAACAAAGATTCATCGGTTTGTTCTTTCCCCGGACAGGTGGCATCATCGCAGGGCGAGTCGCTGATTCACCGCGGTTTGCAAGCCACTTCTAATCCAACCAACCAAGCCACAAAAGCATCTTTCTTCGTCCGACCCGACCATCCCAACCAGCACCTACTCACGTTGCTGCAGACTGATCGTGGGAAGGTTGTTGTGAGCAGTGGCACTATCTCAAGCTCCACCATTGCTCTTGAGCTGAAACACACTAGCTTCGCTTACTCAGCCAACGAAAGCTCCGTTTCAGTCACTTAGTTTGGTGTCTCCGGCTTCTGGGAAGCATTGTTTACGACTCATCAATGGCCAATCAAGCAGCTACACTGGTGGGTGTTCACGATAACGCATTCTGCCCTTGCATGTCGCACCTTCTTTAAGCTTTTCGGCGTTGCCGTTGCCGAATTGTGCCCATTGTGGTTCTTCTTCCCTAATGGCGCCCGTTTGTTCCCCTTCAGATGGGCACCACGCTTCCCGCCCTGCGCGTTGCAGTGGCACCTACGGCGTCATCAGCGCGGCCAGCAGCGTCGCCTGTGCGCGCGGCGCTGAACAGCAAAGTGCTGGAGAGCAAGTCGTTAGGCGAGCTGCGACAATTGGCGAAGGAGCGCGGCATGCGCGGAGATACCAAGGCGGAGCTCGTCAAGCTGCTCACGTACGTCGTCCACCCCAGACTCACACAACACTGGCTGATTGTGTTGTCTGCTGTACCCACACAACCCCTCCATATCCGTCCACGCCTCCACCTTTGTTTTTCTCCCTTGCTCGCCTTCTCCGCGTATTCACGCACTACAGGTCCAGCTACGCCGCAGCGCCCGCGGGTAACGGTGCGGTGGCGGCGAAGGCGGCAGTAACGGTGAACCCGCAGCTGAAGAAGCAGCTGGAGGCCATGCCCATGGCGCAGCTGCGCGCGCAGGCGCGTAGCAAGGGCATCTTCGGCGGCAGCAAGGCGGAGATCGTCGCCGCGCTACTGTGAGTTCCTTCATCGCGCTCCATCTTCCACTTTCCACTGCATCGACCTCTCAACCCACGCTATTCTCCCGCCTCTCCGCCCCTCTTTGCTGTCCGATCCGGCTGGCCCATTTCTGCCAACCCTATCCGCACTGCTGCTCCTTACTCTTGGACGAGTGTCAAGTCTCTTGCCTTAATTCCGCCCCATTCCTCACCTCCTTGATCTCTGACCTGAACCAGAACTGCTGGTGTGGCGCCAGCAGCAGCCGCGTCGTCAGCCCCCGCCTACTCCAACGGAGCAGTTGCTTCCGCGCCTGCTGCGGCGGCGCCTGTGGCGGCCGTACCTTCATCGTCGGACCTGGCGCGGCAGCTGCAGACGAAGCCGCTGGCGGTGCTGCGCGCACTGGCGCGCCAAAAGGGGCTGCGCGGCAACACCAAGGAGGAGCTCGTCGCCGCCCTCGTGTGAGTCACCCTCGCGCAATGGCAATCACCGTCCTCCTTAAATATCAGCGTCCACGGTCGTTCGGCTTCCACGTGGTTCCCTGTGCTCGCACCTTAACTTTTCACTCCAGTGCTCCATCTCTCTAACGGCACACCACGCTCCTCCCTCCCGATTCTTCTCCCCAGCTCTGCCACCGCACCCGCTGCTGCATCACCGGCGCCCGCCGTCTCTCCCGCTGCTGCCGTTACCGCGACCTCTGCCTCTTCCTCGCCCGCCGCCTCTCCCGCCGCCGCTGCGCCCGGTACCGTGAACGTTAGCGCGCAGGCGCTGGCACGGCAGCTGCAAACACGGCCGCTGTCGGCGCTGCGCGCCATGGCGAACGCAAAGGGCATCTCGGGGGCCGCCGCGCCCAAGGATCAACTCATCCGCGCCCTCGTGTAAGAGACAATCGGTGATACGTGGAGTTTTTTAGGATGGAAAAATGTGATTCACACGTCCGCCAGCTACGAGAATGAACCCTGCTTGCATCGTCCGTTCGTCCGCGCACTCGCACCCCCTCCATGTGCCAACGCCGCTATTCCCATGTCACGCGTCCCCCCTCTGTCCCCAATGTGCTGCCCGCAGCGCCGCAGCCACGGCGACGGCGGCGAACGTGACGGAGGTGAAGGCCGCCGCATCCGTGCGCGCGTCGGAGCTGCAGAGCAAGCCGCTGTCGGAGCTGCGCACCATTGCGCGCGCGCGGGGCATCCGCGGAGACACCAAGGCGGAGCTCGTTAAACTGCTGTACGTGCGGAACACCTAAAGCCCCTTGTCCTCACACCTCTTGCCAATCTCCTCTTCCCAGACACTTCCCACTGCGTCATCACTTATTTCTGCCCTTAAGCCTTATTCCCCCTCTTCCTCCCCTTCTCCTCTCCCTCCCTCCCCCCCCCCCCCCCCCCCCCCCCCCCCCCCCCCCCCCCCCCCCCCCCCCCCCCCCCCCCCCCCCCTCACCCCTTTCTTTCCCCGGTGCACGCCCCCTGGTGCAGCACGGCGGAGGACGTGGTGCTACCGCCACTGCAGAGCGCGAGCATGAGCTTGCCCTTCCAGTCCGACCTCCCCGCTGGCGGCACCACCGCCATCCAACCCCTGCAGGTGCGCCCTCCGCCTCTCTCCTCCTCGCCTCTCGCCCTCTTGTACCTGCCTCTTTCTCTTTGTCAGCCTCTCATTCTCTAAACATCCGCCACGTGTTTTGCCCCTGCCATCGTCCATTCACCTCCGTTTCCCCATCCCCACCTTCCCACCCCCACCGTATCCCTCACCCGTGGCGAGCAGGCAGCGTCATTGGGGGTGCAGTCAGCAGCAGTGAGCGAGGCCATGGAGCTGCTGCTGGGACGCGCGGAGGGGGAGGCGGAGGGCAGCGTGGCGGAGCAGGCAGCGTTCCTGCGCAACGTGCTGGTGGCGGGCATAGGCGTGGCCGTGCTGCCCCTCATCCTGCCCGTGCAGATGTCCTCCACTGTCGTCGCCACCGCTCCCACTGTCACCGCTCCCCAGGTATGCACACGCTACAATAGGCTGCACACACGTGTGTAACACGGCAAGGTAGGGACGGGGAAGTAGAGAGGTGGTGATGTGCTGTATTTGGCTGATGAATAGCTGTGGGGCGGGATGGTAGTAATGAGCTGCGAGGCATGAAAGAGACGAGACCCTGTGTCAAGGGCCAGTAAAAAGAATGGTGGGTTCATAAGATAGCAGTGCAGGGATGAGCATGTGAAATGATGGTGCACAAGGTTACAATGTAACAAGTACGAGCTGTCACAGCTGTCAACCATCACTGACTGTGTCCCCCGTTTCCTTCCCTACTGCAGGTTGTTGTGCCACCACCTCCTGCCGAGCCTGAACCTGAGGTTCGGGCGCTGTCTGCTGAGGAGTTTTGCACATCCCTGCCCTCGTCTCTGCTGTCCCCACAAGCGGCCAAGTTCTGCCAAGCTGTCAAGGACATTGGCCTCTGAACACAGGCCACTCCACGCCTCTCCACCGCACAAGTGGCGCTGCCATGACATCCCCTGCGCGTATCTGCGCTCATCCCTGCAAAGGCTCAAGCCTGTGATATTTAGCTAGTGTTACCTCTCTTTCAGCATGGTGTAGTTGGGTTTGACTCCAGGAGGAAACTTAGTGGAGCTGATTGTGTGCATTGTGAAAGAGTGATTGATATTATGGGTACTACTGAGCATAACTCGTGGAGGGCGTCAGAAGTCAGCAAAAAAAGACTGATTGACTGGAAGGTAAAAAGGCTGAGATTTCAGCAAATTTCTGGAAAGAAACAGGAATAACTAGGAATTTATAATGTAAAATGGCATAAAATGGCTACCGTATTTTGTCTGATTTTCAACACCTGTTTTTGTACCAACTCTGATTGTTCAGATCAGACTAGCACAAAACCAATCTGAGGCCGTGTCACTGGCCCAATGCATAGGCATGAGGTGCACTAACGTTGAGTGCTGTCTGGTGGCTGAGTCAAAACATCAACATATGTACCCTAGGACAGCAGGCTTGTCAGAGGCCATGGCAATACGAACAAACTCTTGTACAGTATTCATGGGTATAACTTTCTGGAAGTCTCAACATGCAAGGTATGGTAGCACCAACCCTGCATAATTTGACATACTAAAGCATTGGTGAACCAGGTCCAGCAGTGACACTAGTGCAAACAGCAGGTTACATCACACGAAGTCCGTGACTGAATCCTTATCCATGCATACAGCCAGCACTGCAGCATCCACAGACGCGACTCCCAAAACCTCTCCTTCCCCAACCTCAGCACGGGTATCCTGTGCGCCTCCAATGGCAGTGGTGGCTTCCTCGGTCTGGCGGGCGCGGTCTCCTCCAGTAGGTTTATAGTGTGCCGCATCTGCAGTCACACTCATGCTTGGGGGCAGTATGAAGGGGTTAGGGGCCGTGTGTGGAGACTGTGTGCTGTGTGTGACGGGTGCGGTGGGTGTAGCCGCTCCTCCACTGCCCAAGGCCAGGGCACATGCGCGCAGCGCTGCCACCTCCTTCTCAAGCTCCTCCTTCTGTGCCTCGCTCTGCTGCATTTGCTGACTCAGCGCAACCACTTGCTGACTCAAATCAGCATTCTCCCGCTGCAGCGACGAAGTCTGTCAAGTTGGTGGGGGGAGGGTGAGAGAGCACAGGTATGACTTGGAGTGGTGAGGCAAGTGACAGAGGCAACGGTGGGCATGTAGGATGAGGGGAAACAAGCAGGCCAGATTCTGTTGCTTGGCAACACTCGAGCAGTCGGAAAGGCATGAAACGCTAAAGTATGAAGGGAGTGAGAGTGAGCGAAGTCAGTGCACGTCAAGTAGCCAGAGCTCACCAGAACTTCCAGCTCTTGCAGGCGGCGCTGCCGCTTGATGCGTGCCCTCTTGGCCGACTCGCGGTTGCTCTTCATCCTGTTCGCATGGAACCACAGCCCATAAGGTCGTGGTTACAAACAATTTCAGCAATGCGCAGGATGAGCAAAGACGGTCGAGTAAAAGGGCTCTTGCTCGTTTATATGCATGAACACCAAGGGACATGCTGACCTCCTCATTCGCCTGCTCCACTCCAGAGCAAGGTCGTCGCTGTTCGCCCCTGCCACCTCCGTGTCCTCTGCTGCCGCACTGCTGCCGCGTGCAGCAACCATGCCATGCCCTCCTGACATGCCATCCATAAACGCTCCATCCTCCGTGCCCGCCTGCCCCCACGCATCGTCCACATCATCCCCATCACTGCCGCTGCTCGCTCCTCCCTCTCCTCCCACTTTGCTGCTTCCAAATACCCCGTCCCTTAATCCCATACTTCGTGGACCCTTCATCTCCTTCCCACCCACACCCATGCCTCGCCCAATCAAGCTTGAACTTATCATACCCATCTCGTGTCTCCATTTCCGTGCACTTGCCTCCGCCATACCACCTCCTCCTGCCTTCTCGTCGTCCCCTGGACCACCCTCTCCCGGCCCCACCTCATCATGTACCCGCACACTCACACCGACCTCACTGCATGCGCCGCCATTCCGTTTCGCTGCCTCCTCCAGCGCCCTTTGTGCTTGCGCCGCGTGTGTCTCTGCCCCTACCTGCATGCTGCTCTGCCTAACAATTGCCGCCACAAGCCCTCTCCCCACTGGCCCCTCTTCGTCCCACCCTTGCGCGCCAGACCCCTCCAACAGACCATCTTGCGTGCCATCACCCTGGGCCTCATGCCGAGTTGGCTGCTGTTGCCTCATTCCGTCTGGACACTGCTGGCCTGCCTGCTGCTGCTGCTGCTGCTGCTGTCCAGTGTGCTGCGGAAGGCCCTCGCCTCTAAACTGTGCGAGTGCGGAGAAGTCACCGGAGGCGAGAAGAGCTTGCAGCGCCATCATCTGCTGCGCCATGAGCTCCTTGTCGCTGTGCCACGCACGCCCCGCCTCAACTTGCTCTCCCGCCGCTTCTTCCTGCTCGCGACCGCCTGCCGCCATGGCTGCCGCCCATACCTCCGTCTGCGCGGCCTTGTCCGCTCCACCATCGCGTGCGCTCATCCCCTCCTCCTTCTGCTCCCTCAGCCCCAGCTGCTGCATCCACAGCTGCTGCTGCACCGCCTCCTTCTCTGAATTAGCCATCGGTGGCTCCACACTTCCCGACGCTTGCCCCCTTGGCAGTCCCCACGACGACGAGCATGACGCCAGCCCGGTTGCGTGCGCCTGCTCCGCTCGTGGCACCAGTATGCGGCATGCGGTCATGCCCGGCGTCATCACACTGCCTCCTCCTGCCGACATCATCCATTCTCCCACGCCTCGAACCGCCCTGCCGATCGGTGTTACATGCACTCCTTGCGCGGCCAAATTCGCCATCGTATTCACTCTTGTACCTCCTGGTACTAGTAGCCTTTGATCTCTGTCCTCCGCTAGTACCACGTTGGCCGTTGCTGGCAATTGTGAATCACGTGCACCCATGACAGCAGATGCTCGCTCAGGTGGGCCTGCGCCCGCTACAGACACACCCGCACCTGACCGGCGATTATTGGAATGAGCTCTAAAATCGGCTCCGCTAATAAGCCCCACCTGCTCTGGGCCAGCAACCACCTGGAAAGTGCAGCTGGGGCTAGAAGGCAAGCCAGTCTGTTCCAGTAAGCCAGGGCGCGCTGAGTGGCTGCTGCCCGCCCGAATTACCGTCGCGGTCCCTAGCGATCGCTGAGAGGGGCTGTGGCAAGCAAAGGGAAGGCTGGAGGCGGTGATGAAGCGAGAGAGTGAGTCCAAGGACGACGCGCAGGTCGATGTCGCGGCGCCTGCTGCTGACCACCGTGACATCCCCGCAGCTGCGGAGGCAGCATTTTCGGGACAATTGGAAACGAGCATTGCAGCAGCACCACTGGTAGTAGTGGAACGCATGGGTTCTGATTTCCCATCCAATCCGAGGCGATTCAGCGGATGCAACGTAGGCAGGCGACTGGACGGAACGGACGAGCTTGGTGCCATGGACGCGCTGAAGGATCCGCGCTCAGCCGAAGCCACGTCAACAACACGAGAAAAGTCGGGGATTCGGAATCCCGACCCAATTGCATACTCACTAATACCTTGGTCCCTGCACCTCATTCCAGGAACCGCCGTCAATGCCATGTCGCACAGCTCCGGACCCAATCCAGATGCAGCGCCACATAACATAGCTTCATCAGCAGACTTTGGAACCTCGCGTGCTGCTGGCACTGTCGAGGTGGGAGTGAAAAAATCGCCAACTAGTCGCCGATGCTCCTCTTCCACGGCTGCGAGCGCCGCGGCCGCAAGATTCTCTGACAATCGACTCTGCATAGAGGTTGACGTGGTACTATTGTTGAGTCTTGGTGAATCATGCTGAGTCGGCCGTGACATGGCATTACTCGGTGACCACAACCAATTCTGATGACATTTGACGACCACACATAGCAACACTTGCTCTCAGCTTTGGGGCGGTCGCTTCAGGACTGTGAAAAACGGAAGCAGTGGCTATCGTGAGACTACAACCTTGCGGAAGCTTAACAGAGCTGAAGCCAGACGTTGAACTCTCGTTCAATAACTCACTACATCGTAACACACGGAGCCCGCTGACTGGCGCGGTGCCACTGCTGTCGAAGGTCGAATAATCAAAGTCGGAAAGACCTGCGCTAATTCCCTCCCCTTCCCATGGAAGCGACTGGCGGAGGAAGAAAAGCCACAGATCGAACCAGGCACGGAACGCCATTGTTGGAAGGAGACCAATTTTATTGACGGGCAAGTTCATGGCCGCGGCTAATACTATAGCCGCGGCCCATGGGCAGAAGCTAAAGTGTTGTTGACGGGCACGGCCTTTGCATGGCCTAGATCAGAGAGGTCGGGACGGGACGGAACAAAAGACTGAAACCCTCGAAATAGGGACTGCCGCAGGTACAAGGTGGGCAGTGGCCGGCGAACAGACCAGTGTACTGTAGTGTGTCGCATTGAATTCGTGGACGCCTTGCATTTGGGCTTACCCGCTCGATGCTGCGCTGGGCAAGGTGTGAGAAGTCAAATGCGCTGTCGAAGCGCGCTGTCCTCGACGTGGTGTGCGGCTCGCCACATTGTGGCTAGGTGAGAGCTTGCTGGCAGAAGTTGGGGGCGGGTTGGACACCGTGTGCAGTGCTGGCAAGTACGAGCTGTGAAAAGCCATGCAGCAATAATGAAAGGATGGTGTGAAGGAAAGTTCCCCCAATAAAAACACGGACAACCTTTCGCCGCGTCAGGGTTAACCAATGGAGGACAAGTTTTCGGTCCAGCGCACTCTACAGACCTATCAAGGCCATACAACGGGACACGCATGGCGGTGTCTTGCTAAGGAGTTCTGGATTGCGGAATATATTTGTGCAATCGATGTACCGAACAAAACGTAACGGTTTATATTCTATAAACCCATCTGGGAAATTGTTAATAATGACCATATGTTACGATTGCAATTTGATTGATCGAGCGAGAATTGTGCTATTGGAGCAAACAATACAATGAGAGAAGGTATGAGAGAATTGCTGAATAGCGGCAGAATAGTAATCATAATGGTAATGGCAGTAATGGTCAATAATTGTAAAAATACATACGGGCATAGAGCCGCGGTTGGAAAATTTGAGGCGGATGTCAAACTACGTTCATATTTCTGATAGGCTATACTAAGGTAGATTGTAGTGGAGTTTGTATATGTATCTCATGCTTGCTAGTCCAACCTTATTCCGCCGTTCTAACCCAGAGATAATGTCACGAGTAGGAAACGTGACTCCGCGAATTAGGCCCAGACAAGCGCAGCCACGTGACCCGACGGAAGAAAAACGCTCGGAACGAGCGCTTCCAGCCCCAAAACGGGGAAGGATCCGCACATGTGCAGGAAATGCAGCGAGCGCTTTTCATTTGCGAGCGCCGATGACCGATGGTGCTTGCAACCCTCCCACGCCCTTGCTGGCTTGGTAATAGGCCCAAACAAGCGCAGCCATGTGACCCGGTGGAAGAAAAACGCTTGGAACGAGCGCTGTCACCCCCAAAACGCGAAAGGATGCGCACATGTGCAGGAACTGTAGCACGCGCTCTTCATTCGCGAGCGCCGATGACCGATGATGCTCGCAACCTTCCCACGCCCATACTGGCTTGGTAATTGACACAGGCAAGCGCAGTCACGTGACCCGGCAGAACAAAAACGCTCGGAACGAGTCCTTTCAGCCCCAACAAGCGAAAGGATTCGCACGTGTGCAGGAAATGTAGCGGACGCTTTTCATTCGCGAGCGCCGATGATCGATGATGCACGCAACCCTCCCATGCCCTTGCTGGCTTAGTAATAGTCCCACACAAGCACAGCCACGTGATCCGGCGGAAGAAAAATGCTCGGAACGAGCGCTTCCACCCCCAAAACGCGGAAGGATCCGCACAAGTGCAGGAAGTGGAGCGGGCGCTCTTCATTCGCGAATGCCGATGACCGATGATGCTCACAACCCTTCAACGCCATTGCAGGCTTGGTAATAGGCACAAACAAACGCACCCACATGACCCGGTGGAAGAAAAACGCTTAGAACGAGCGCTTCCAGCCCCAAAACACGGAAGGATCCGCACATGTGCAGGAAATGCAGCGAGCGCTCTTCATTCGCGAGCGCCGATGACCGATGGTGCTTGCAACCGTCCCACGCCCTTGCTGGCTTGGTAATAGGCCCAGACAAGCGCAGCCACGTGACCCGGTGGAAGAAAAACGCTTGGAACGAGCGCTGCCACCCCCAAAACGCGAAAGGATGCGCACATGTGCAGGAAGTGTAGCAGGCGCTCTTCATTCGCGAGCGCCGATGACCGATGATGCTCGCAACCTTCCCACGCCCCTACTGGCTTGGTAATTGACACAAGCAAGCGCAGTCACGTGACCCGGCATAAGAAAAACACTCGTAACGAGTCCTTTCAGCCCCAAAACGCGAAAGGATTCGCACGTTTAGGGTTTAGGGTTTAGGGTTTAATTATAAAAAACAAGCCTAGCTGCAGCTGCTAGTAAATCCCAGTTTAAGCTGGGGCGGCTTTACTATTTAGGAGGCTCCTAAGGTAGCGTGAGAGGAGGAGGAGATGAGTGGCGTGTGGGTTGGGAAGGTGTGGGTCGAATTGAAATTGGGTGGGGGTGCTGAAAAAATTGAAACCGAGGCGCGCATTTGACGCGTGCGCCTCGGGAGTCAAGAATCGAGAGATGGGGGGGGGTGTCAAATGTTATATATTCTTTATATTGTTAGTATAGGCTACAGTGAGTTGCCCTCTAAAGGGTACAACACTTTAGGTCGACACTTGTATCCCTTGCCTCTCACCACTCAATCATCACTTTCGATACTTCTCCCCTAGCCTATTTTAAGATGGTATTAGAGTAGGTTATTTAATCCCTCCCACGCTTCCGCTCCCTCCCTTAGCCAGTCCCGAGGCGCCCGTCCCTTAGGCCCCGTTTCGTCGCGGGTAGGACGGCCCCCGCGGGCCTCGTTTTCGTCGCGTTTAAGGGCCCCCGCGGGCCTCGTTTTCGTCGCGTTTAAGGGCCCCCGCGGGCCTCGTTTTCGTCGCGTTTAAGGGCCCCCGCGGGCCTCGTTTCGTCGCGGGTAGGACGGCCCCTGCGGGCCTCGTTTTCGTCGCGCTTAAAAGGCCCCGCTGGCCCCTCGTTTCGTCGCGCTCCAGAGGGGAATCTCTCCCCCCCCCCCCCCCCCCCCCCCCCCCCCCCCCCCCCCCCCCACCCGCGGGCCCGCGTAGTTGTTCTTAGCCCGCAGCAGCGCGCACGTTAGCCAGCGGCAGCCGCGCACGCCACTGCAGCACGCACATTGCAGCAGCAGCGCGTGCATTGCTGCAGCAGCACGGCTAGGCAGCAGCGCGTGCATTGCAGCAGAAGCACGGCTAGGCAGCAGCGCGTGCTCCTGCAGCAGCAGCACGGCTAGGCAGAGGCTAGCCGCCAGCCACAGCTAGCCACCGGAACCTAGCCGCCAGCAGTTGGCGCCAGCTAGCACCTCCCACCCGCTCACGGCCCCTTCCAACCACTCACAGCCCCTTCCAACCGCTCACAGCCCCTTCCAACCGCTCACAACCCCTTCCAACCGCTCACAGCCCCTACCAACCGCTCACATCCCCTTATCTCGCGCGCACACCACCTAGGACCACCCGACCTCCGTTGGTTCGTCACTCGCGTCACTCATACTCACAGTGTTTCGCACCGTCGCGGCTGGAGGCCGCTCCGCTTAGCTGTTTAGGGTAGCCTTGACGTTCGTGGTTAGCTAGGTCTCTCCTCGCTCCGCCAGCCCCTCGAACGACTCTCTGGCTCGTCAGCCCTGCCTCCTCCAGCCGTTTACTAGACTGGCGTTCCTAGCTCTGTTTTTCCTCCGTGCTCCAGCAGTACTCCGCCGTTCTCCCTCCTGGCGCTCCGTAGGTTTCCTCCTCGTTCTTAGCTCAGCCTCTGCCGAGCTCCAGCCGCCTCTAGCATGGCATCAGTCATGGAGTCTCGTCGCCTCCGTTTCGACGCGGAGGGAAGCCCAATAGAGTTTAGCTCCTGGCAGCGCCAGACCACGCGCTTCCTCACCAGCCAGCGGCAGGACGGCGCCACTCTGTGGGCTCACGCGTCTGGTGCTCTACAGGCCCCCCCGTCCCCCGCCGCCCTGCCGACCGCCCCGGAGCCGACCCCTACGGCCCAGGCGGACTACGACCGTCGGGTCCTGGCCAGGGACGTGTGGCTCTCGCGTGACGCAGCCGCCGCTCTCACTCTGTCAGAGCTTCTCCCCCCGACTGAGGCCGCCCACTTTGACCAGGTGGAGACTGCACAGGGGGTTTGGGAGGCTATTGTTGCTCGCTACTCCACCCCCTCCTCTGCCTCCCTCAGTCGCCTCCTCATGCCGTTTGTGTTTCCCGACCTAGGCTCGTTTGCG